TTTTTTTTGTTGTTGTTGCAGTTTGGCTGGGGCCAGGTTCGAACACACTACCCTCTGTATATGGGGCCAGATCCCTACCCACTGAGCCACAGGCGCCACCCACAGTTCTTGTTCATAAAATATTTTTGCTTAGCTAGTTGACCAATAATTGCCAGTAACAGCAAGTGCCACAAAATTGCTTCTGTATACATGGGATTGTGAAATCTGGTAGCTTGCTTTGCTTGCTTGCTGATAGTTATTTTTAGTTCCATAAGTTAACCTATATAAACTCTGTCCTCAGGCTGGATGCTGCTGCCCCTCCTCATTTTCCATCAGAGGGTAGCTGGATGGCCAGTCTTAAAATAGACTCCTATTGGCCTTTTCAATTTGTCTGGTGGTCTTATATTTCACATACCATAACATTTCTGGAGGCCCCAGCAAGATACCTGGGTTTTACCCAGGCAGTGACCATAGGTCACAGCTGGAAGACATGAGCCAGCCTCCACATGAGAAGACATTCCTCAGCCCTGAGCCAAAGACCGTTCCTGCTCCCCAGCCCCAACCACTCAAATTGATTGACTTAATTTGGATAATGAAATGGAGTTATCAGGTCTGGGTTCTCACTGGTGAGTCTGTTCTTGGAAGTAGTCCAGTGGCTGGACACAAACAAGGAATCTGGGTTCTGAGCTTGATAACTGGGCTATGGAGCAGCCTGGGCCTCAAGCATCTGGTTTCAGGTATCTGCCTTCTGAGAGCTGACTGAGGGTTCCCCTTTGGTGTTGTGTGTGAGTGGGTGAGAGAGTATTAATGTGAGTCCATGGATGGCTACTGAGGGGGCCTCCACCCACAGTTCTGTGACTCTGTCATATGGCTTAGTGGCAAATTCAGCCTTCAGGTTGACCCAGTTTGGGATTTGTCCAAAAGATTGGACCTTGTACCTGCAGGATGACTGAACTATTTGAGGGTGGTGGCTGCTACAGCCATCTTGGTGCAAGAAGCCTCAAAATTAACATTGGGACCAGACCTTCAGATTATTGCTCTCTACTTGGTTGAGGCTCTGCTCAGAAGTCCTCCTGACAGATGGCTATCCAACACCAAAATAATACAATACCAAGCTCTCATGCTAGACCCACCCTGAGAGCAGTTTTTTAAAATATCTGTACTCAACCCAGCCACTCTCCTCCCTGATGATAATCCAGAGGAGCCCCTGCATTATTGCCCTGACATCTTGAAGGCCCTGCAGAATTTAAAGGCCAACCTTCATGACGAACCATGGGCAAGCCCAGAGGCAGTCAACCTCTACACTGATGGAAGCAGCTACATCCTCCAAGGAGTGAGATATGCAGGGGCAGCTGTAGTAACCCTGAACCAAGTTATCTGGGCCCAGGCACTGGGACACAGAACCTCAGCCCAAAGGGCTGAGCTGATTGTAGTCACCCAAGCCCTGCACTGGGGGCAGGAAAAGACAGTCAAAATCTATACCTATAGCTGGTATACCTTTGCTACTGTACATGCCCATGGAGCCCTCTACAAAGAACAAGGCTTCCTTACTTCAGGAAGAAGGGCCATTAAAAATTGGGAAGCAATCTTAGCCCTTCTCAAAGCCATCTGGCTGCTAAACAAAGTAGTAGTTATCCACTGCCGTGGTCACCAGACTGAGGACACCCCCACTATGAAGGCAAATGCTTATGCTGACCAGATGGCTCGGGAGGTGGCTCAAAAACCTGTGGAGCCACTCCAGATTCTTCCTGCCCTGCCCTGCCAGAGGTTACCTGAATCTTCGGCTTTTACCCCAGAGGAAGAGGAGCTTGGTAAAAAATTCCAAGCTAAGAAAGATCCAGATGGATGGTAGATTCTGCCTGATTATCCTATTCTAGTTCCTACCCAGCTAGGGAGGGAGCTCCTATGACAAGTCCATCACAGTTCACATCCTGGTGGCACAAAACTAACTGAACTTTTCCAAAAAGATTATTATATCCCTCACCTGCAGAAAATGACAAAACACATTGCTGCCTATTGCTAGGTATGTGCCCATGTAAATGCTGCCACTAGCCCCAGGATGCCTGTTAGAACACGACTACATAGTGATTTCCCTGGGGAACAAAACTTCCCTGGGAAATAAACTTCATTGAGATAAGTTGCTCTCAGTATAGGTACAAATATCTCTTGGTGTTTGTTGATACGTTCTCTGGATGGACTGAGGCTTACCCCACTAGGACAGAAACAGCACCAATAGTAGTAAAGAAACTAATGGCTGAAATTATCCCCCAATTTGACTTGCCTCTAAAACTGGGGTCCAACAATGGCACAGCATTCATTGCTCAGATCATCCAGGTATTGGCTAAAACCTTAGGTATAGACTGGAAACTGCACTGTGCTTATAGACTTCAAAGTTCAGGGCAGGTGAAAAGAATAAATAAGACACTGAAAGAAACTTTGAGTAAATTATAGTTGGAGAATGGCAAAAACTGGGTGAGCCTCCTTCCCTTTGCCCTCCTCCATGTTAGATGTATCCCTTGTATAAAAGGTCTTACTACCTATGAAATAATGTCCGGGAGACGCCCGCCACTGATCCCGCACTTGGGATTTGAAAGGTCAGCAGAACTTAACACACATTCTCTCCTCAAGTCATTACAGGCTTTGTAGACTTCCTCCCAGAGAGTGCAGGGAATAGTGAAAGCTGTCCATCAGGACAGTAAGAAAACTTCCCCCTTGGGAGAGGGGAGCCACCTGCAGCCTAGAGACCTAGACTGGATAAAGAAAAATCACCGTGGGATTCGCCACAGGTTTATTTGTTCATTATATATAGTATCAATAAATAATCAGTATTTTCCAAGGCAAATGCTGTATCTATCAGATGACTTCTATTGATATTTCTTTGTTTTGTCCTATAAGATAAATTTAGAGGAGATGGTACATTTGTTTTTACCACTTGAGTTCAAGTCTATGTAAAATTGACAAGAGGAGCATAGCTCATGACAGAATCTTCTTCTCCTTTAGCATCTAGTACTTTCAACACAATAGTCTTTCAATTATTAATTCCAAATGAATAAGTGAAGTACCTTAGAGTGCAGTTAAAGGTACTAAAGGGAGACAGATCCTGTAAAAGGTTACTATCCCTCCTTCAAGGGAAGATGAAGACAATAATAGAAAGAGGATTTAGGTTGCTATGTAGTGGAACAAGAAACAGGAAATAGTTGTATCAGAAAATTCTACTCCTTTTTTCCCCGAGGCAAGATATCTCTATTTATACATAATCTAACTTAATGATGCAATTTTACCCTGTATTAGAACTGACTAGAGTCTCAACTATGTAAAGCCCTCACTTTAAGGGCTCCTTTCCTTTCTAATTCTTACCCTTTGGTTTAATACCTCTTTTAACCTTGTTTTCTTGCTGGGAGTAAAAACTGTAAGCCTATCTTTTCCTTAGTGCTAAATAATTTTTTTTTTAAGTCAAAGCTAAAAGAAGATGAGGTTAAGAAGCTTAATTTTTAAATATCCTCAAGTCTCTGATTAGTGCCCACTCATTTTACTATCAAAATGCTGCTTTAGCCCATGAATGTTTCCCACCAATTTTCTGAGTAACCACTCCGTGGATGGTTTTGAGTTCTTCACAGTGAGCAAGATATATTTTTGCAAGATGAGCAGTCAGCAAGATATATTTTTGTTCTCAAGCTAGGGAACAACTCAAATGAAACCCATACTAACCTTCCTTTTGTAAAGGATGAGATTATAATGGAAAAATTGGAAATTTTTATCAAATAGCAAATGCTAAAACATAAAGGCAGGATTGCAACTACTATCAAAAACTACAACTTTCAGTATCTCCTAAATACACCAGATATCTCAATCAATTTTCTTATTCATTCCAACTTTCATTTTTACAAATATAATTCTAGAATATATAGGCAGTACAAATTATTTTTTTTGAGACCAAGTCTCAAGCTATTGCCCTGGATAGAGTGCTATGGCATCACAGCTCACAGCAATCTCAAATTATTGGGCTAAAGCGATTCTCTTGCTTCAGTCTCCCAAGTAGCTGGGACTATAGGTGCCCTCCACAACGCTCCAGCTATTTTTTTTGTTGTTGTTGTTGCAGTTGTCACTGCCCACCAGCCTTGGTCTATGTGGCCGATGCCCAACCCATTGAGCTCTGAGTATCACCTACAAATTATTTTGAATCACACACTGCAGGCACACATCCAAAAAGGAAACAAGTTTGAACCATATCCAAGGAGCATATAGCACAAAGATTCTTACATAAGAGCTAAAGCTGATGCAGTCCTTAAAACTGACCTACAAATAAATCAACACATTTATGTCGATTAACACTTGTTTGTCTAAATTCAGCTAAAAGTGGAAGCCATTTCGTATATACCTAAAGAATGAATCTGAGAAGGAAAAAGAAAATTTGAAGAAAAATTTAAACCTTCATTCAACTCAAATTTCAAAGAATTTAAACCCCAAATTTGTAAAATCCATCTCCATACAAATCTCCAGCAAAATGGCCATAAGCAAAACCCAGTAATTTCCAACCACGGTTGCTAGCCCCCACTCCTTCCCTGAACAAGATTAAAATGTTTTATCTTAAAAATGAGCACCATGTTTATTTGGCTCTTTGCCCTTTCCCCCGCCCCCCACCACTTGCAATTTCATCTCTCTTTGGATACATGAGGTACTTTTAAACTATATGAACAAATGAACCCTGAATCTGCATTCCCTACTAATAAACACAATGTAGTCTCTCTCCCCCTTTTTTTTTTTTTTTTGAGACAGAGCCTCAAGCTGTCCCCCTGGGTAGAGCGCCGTGGCATTACAGCTCACAGCAACCTCCAACTCCTGGGCTCAAGCGAGTCTCCTGCCTCAGCCTCCCAAGTAGCTGGG